CAGGGGGGGGGCCGAGCCAGCCGATGCCTCCGTAGATGGTCGAATGGCTGTCACTGGCAACTATCCCGTGTGTGAGTGGCCGACAGGAAAACGGTTTTTTCCCTTTCTATTTTTTTTCTACAAGAATGCAAGCAACGTACCTGTGAGTGTTCCTGGCCATGCATAACCTTCTTCAATCATTATTTGGTGGCCAATTCCAGTCTTGGCAGGATCTATCCCAAGTAAGCTAAATACTTTGGAAAGTTGCGCCTCGGCGCGGCGAGCATACAGAAATCTATGCCATGCTTGTTGGCGAACTCCTCGATTAGACGATATTTGCGCAGATTCTGGTCAGATTCGTTCTGCACATCGTGATCAAGTCTGGGATCGTTAGACAGTATACCGAGGTCAGATAGCAAGAAAGAGGTAGCTTACGCCATGACAACCTGGCGATTATCGCTGACCGATATGGCGCCCATTTCCATGAATCTAGACATATTAATTCGTGTATTCTTACAAAGAGCTAACTACTTACTTAGTAATTACAGGGAACGAGTTGTCGTGGGTCATACTCTTGTGAGGACTGGCAACAAACTAATGTCAGCTCGATTGTCCAGTGGGCGGACCAGGGCTAGACTAACCGCAGCATCACATAGTCCCCAGCTCTGACTCTCCTGCCTTGGCCGAGGCCATCTGCGTGAAGTTGTACTATCTTCTCGGTAAGTGTCTGCGGGTTCGTTCGAGCGGCGGAGTCTAGGGAGGACTGGAGGTGAGGGGTGTTGGAGCTGGTGTTAGATTGTAATTGCCGGGCCTGTTGCTGTCGGGGACAGGTTGAGACATGGCTGCGAAACGGATTCACAGATCCGGGCAACAATCGGAAGCGAGTAATCGAGGTACGGGCCTGTCGCGTTGCAAGGACGGAGGCATTGAGCCAGATCGCCCTCCGCTAATGAAACACAGTTAGACATGTTGTTGCAGGTTTTCGATGAAAGCAGGATGAAATCGAGAATTGGTGGTTGGTAGAGCAACATACAAGCACAGCCATGGTAGTTGGAAGATGGTGAATCTCGAGATCACGGATGAGTAACTCGATGTTGAATTTCAGATGATTAGTAACCCCGAATTTTATTGCGGGGCGCGGAATTCCCGCGCCGACCAATCATAGCAATGCTATTGCACGCGTTTGCCAAGAGAAAACGCAACTTGAACCAACATTACCTAATTAACTAGGTGGTCTTCTCCCTCGTACTGTTCTCATCGCCAAGAACTTTGGACGGCCGGACAGGCCACCCAACCATCTCCACAGTAGCTAGTAGTTATCGTTGTACGTAGGGTGTAGAAACGGGTACCCCTAGATACACGTAGGTATTTAAGCTTTTCTTAGGTTCTTTATAAGTTATTTATTATTTTATATAAAGAATTTCTTAAAACAATCTTAAATATTAAAAAGTACTTATAATATTACTTATTATAACTTATTAATAATACTTATATATTAAATTAAATTAAGTAAGTTAAATTTAAAATAAATACTTAAAATCACTTAAGATCACTTCTAAATAATTATAAATCACTTATTTTTCTTTATAAATATATTTAAGTTTTTTTTTCTTACTTATACTTAAAGCCCACGAATAAGCGACTTATTTGAAGTTATACGTTATACTAGTATTCGTGGACCTTTTACACCTTAATTGTACGACAGAACTCGACTAAAATCGGTATTAGAGGACGCGCAGTTTTCCCCGAATAGAGCGATTATGTAAGGTGATTAGGGGACCCCGCCTACCTGTAACGCGATTAA